CAACGGCCGCCCAACTCCTCCAACCGTCATCCTGCTTCAGGAAACCTGGCTCACGCCAGCGACCGAAGCAGCCGCCTCCAACCTCTTCCGCGACTACACTTGCTTCTGGAGCTCCGAGCCGGAACCCAAGCACGGGGTCGGCATCCTCATCAGGAAGCCGGCACCGGGCGACACCGACCCCGCACTCTCGAGCCCAACACTACTCAGCTCCATCCCAGGGCGAGCCCTCATCATCACAGCAAACCTCAATAGCAAGCCAACCATCATCTCATCAATCTATGCCCCGGCATCTGGCTCACAAGCTGACAAAGTGGCGTTCCTGGACCAACTCAGCGACCTCATCAAGTCAGCCACCCAGCCAAACGACGACGAGCCAAGGCTGCCCGCCATCATCGGCGGCGACTTCAACAACACACCAAACATCAGCCCCCTGTACGTCCAACCAGAACCAAGCCAAGAGCCTAGGAGCGCCACACAGGCAAACCACGCTCTCAAGGACTTCATCAACAAGCACGCACTCGAGGATGCCTGGCTGCTCAACCACCGCGCCGATGACCCTGTCGAATACACACGATGGCCGAGCAAGAACCAGACACACCGAGCCTCCCGCATCGACCTCATGCTCCTGTCATCCAACCTCCCACTCACAATCAAGTCGACCGCGACCAGGATTTACCAACACTCGGATCATCGAGGCGTCTGTGTGAACCTGGTGGCGCCGTCCGCGGAAGACAGATGCACTCCACCCTTCAAGCTGAACGACACCATTCTCGAACACGCTGGCTTCTGCGGCATGGTACTCAACGAGATAGCAGAGCTGGCGCGCCGCCCCGACCCCGAGAACCACTGGACTGCTTTCAAGGCCGACGTAGCATGGCTAGCCCAGTGCCTGTGCGGCTCCATTGCGAAAGACCGGGCGAAGGCTCTGGCCCAAGCGAGCCGCAAGCTCAAAATCATCGAAGGCAATCTCCTCGCAGCAACATCCCCCGCAGAGGCAAAACTGCTTGCAGCCGAACGAGCGGAGCAGGAAGCCCGTGTCAAAGCTGAGCTCGAGCATCGCGCGCAAGGAGCACGAGTCCGCTCGGCCAAAAAGTGGCGCACCGAGGGCGAACACCCCACCTCCTTCTACTTCTCGCTCGAAAAGCAGTCCCAAAAGGCGACGCACATCCCAATGCTCCTCGTCGACGGCAAAGAAGTCACCGATGCGGCCGGCATCACAGACGCCCAGCGTGACTTCTACGCTAAGCTCTATGCGCACGTACCCATTGACCCAGCAGCTGCCCGGCACATCCTCAGCCATGCAAAGCCCAACGAGATGCTCGACGACGAGGACCACGAGTTGATGAGCAGACCGCTGGAGGCATGGGAGATCGTCCACGCCATCAACAAAACTGCATCTGGCAAGTCCCCAGGGCCCGACGGGCTGGGCACTGCGTTTTACAAGAAGTTCAAGCACGAGCTGGCCCCAATCCTCGCCGCCATCGCCAACCGCTCGCTCGAAAATGGTCGCCTTCCGGAATACATGCAGGACGGCTTCGTCAAGCTGCTGTACAAGAAAGGCCCGCGCTCTGACCTTGGCAACTACCGACCAATCTCGCTGCTGAACTGCGACTTCAAACTCCTGACCAAAGCAGTGATCGCTCGGCTGCAGCTGGTGGTCAACGACATCATACCACTCAACCAAAACGGGTTTGTCACCTCTCGGACCATCGATGGCTGCGTCCATCTCACCCGTGATGTGATAGATCTGTGCAACACCATCAAAACCCCTGGAGTGATTGCCATGACAGACGCGTCCAAGGCGTTCGACAAGGTCTCACACGACTTCCTGTATGCTGCACTCAGAGCGTACGGAGTCGGGCCAGGCTACATCAACATGATCAAACTCTACAACACCAATGGCCGCTCCGCGATGGTATACCAAGGCCGAGTCTCGGATCACTTTCCAATCCAAAGGTCGGTGCGCCAGGGAGGCTGCGACTCGCCGACGCTCTTCGCGTTCTACGCCTGCGCCATCGTAGACTACATCACGTACGGCACAAAGCTCAAGCTGTTGCGGATCCCCAGCAGCAATCTCAAAGCCGATCGCAAGCGCGGCCGAGCGAATGAGGACCGGCCAGACGATCTTGTAGTTCTCCCCACCCTCTTCGCAGACGACTCGTCCTACTTTCTCGCCTCACCAGCAGACGTCCCAAACCTGCTGAACGAGCTCAAGTTTGTGGGGACGGCCACAAATCTGGAAATCAATGCACCAAAGACCACCATCATCCCGCTCGGACCAACTGCAACGCGCAAGCCTCCCCCCGACCTGGAAGGCCTCGAGTGGGTTGGACCAAACTCCACGACGCGCTACCTCGGTGTCATGCTCGGCCACGGTGACCTGACCGTCGCAAACTTTGGCGACCTACTCGACAAGCTTGCACGGCCAGTTGTCGAGATGGCTCGTCCACGGGCCGTCACTCCCAGGTCGTGTGCTCATCGCCAACACCATCGCGCTGTCCAAAGTCTGGTACCGAGCGAGGTTTGTGCCCCTCTCGTCCGAGCAGACAGCAAAACTCACCCGCATCATCGACAAGTTCCTCTGGCACCCAAGCAAATGGTCGCGAACTCACCAGGCCAACGTCGCAGCACCAATCAAATCCGTGGCAGGCGGACTCGGACTCATCCCCGTTCGGCGTCACCTCAAAGCCCTCCTCGCCCAAGCCGCCCTGGCATGGTGTCAGCCGTATGCTGCCCCATGGAAGCACATTGCTGTCCGCCTCTGGCGTGCGGCAGACAAGCCGGCATGCCCACTCAACGTGCTCAGGCTAGTGATCAAGGCCTCGTCAGACTTTATTGGCATCTCTGCATTCTGGCACAAAGCCTTTGAGGCATGGCACGAGCTCAGGCCAGAGCTCCAAACCCCTACCTGCCGCGATGAGGCGCTCGCTCACCCGCTCTGGGACTCACCGGACATCCAGGACGACGGCAAGCCGCTCTGGTGGCCGAGCTGGATCCTCAACGGATACATGCGCGTCCGCGACCTGCGCCGCTTCATCGGTAACCCAGCTAGAGAAGAGTGGTCCCCGCTCTCGCTCGTCAAGAGCTTCACCAACGCAAAGTACTACAACACGCTCCACGAGGCACTCGACCGGAGCCAGCTCTCGTCGCTCGTAGAGCAGGATAGCTCCACAATCCCGTCAGTGCAAGATCTACCGTGGTGCTGGGCCCAACCAGCCGACGACGACGACGCCAATCCCAAACTCTTCAGAGTTGTCAAACTCCGCACGGGCAGCCCGCTCACAAGCAGCTCACTCGGAGCCGGCCAAGTGTTCTACGAGTCGGAGAACGCCCTGATCGCGCCTGCCCAGCCAGGCCTAGTCCTCACCAAGTTCCGCCTGGCAACCGCGCAACACGCCACCGTCGTCTACTGGCGAGCTCCCAACACCAAGCCTGAACCAAACAAGCGGGGAAAGATTTTCCTCCCACGAAAGCAGCTGTACCATGTTGGCCGCACTCAACTCATGCCCCTCATCTGGAGCAACATCGTCCTCAACGGTGTTCACTCAAGCGTCCAGAAGCCCCTGCAAGTCACATCGCACAAGCTCAAACTGAAAACGCTAAGGCAGCTGCTCACTCCACGTCCCTCGAGACCAGACGCCCTCCAATGGTGGATCAACAAAGTTGGCTACGTGCCCTTCGAATCACTGGCCAGCTCCATCAGAACCAGTCTAGTCACATCCAAGCAAGCCTCCCTGCTCTGGCGCATTGCACACCGCACCAACCGACTGGGCGCCGACTGGCTGGAAACAGATGGTCAAGCGCTGCGCGCCGGCTCGCTCTCCCGCGAAGAGTACGACGACAGAATTGCCACTGGGCGCTACGACTGCGCGCACTGCAAACACGACGGCCGCTCGGCCAGAGAGACCTGGCACCACATCCTTGTCCGCTGCCACACAGCCCAAGCGGTTTGGGAAACCGCGAACGCCATCTTCCAGCACGCTCACTCAAGTTCCCTCCCAATGTTCGACAAAGCCCTCCTGTTCGGTCCCTTCCCCACCACGCTTGCGCGAAAAAAGGAAATGCGAGCGCTTGCCACGATCCTGTACCACCTCGGACGCTGGGCGATCTGGCGCACCCGCTGCGAAGCAAAAATCAACAACACATTCACACCCAGCCACACCACCTTCATCAAACTCGTCCACTCCCGCGCCCTGCAGGACATTGTGCCGCGAGCCCCGCCTGCTGACTCTCCCACGTCGAAGATGTGGGGAAAGTGCATTGTCAGGTCAGAAGAGAAGACCACCATTTCACTTCTACCTCCGAAACCCGGTGAGCATGAGCAAACCGAGTCACCAAGCGGCGCCCGTATGACCAGGACGCTAACACCAAACTTGCATCCGCAAGAATAAGTTAAACACGTTGCCCTTGTCACTTACTCCTTGCCCCTGATCATGATCCTCCTCTTTGTGGTTTTTGAGCCTTAGAAGCTTTTCCACTCTCCAATAAACGTAATACAAAAAAAAAGTAAGTCCCCGCCGTCAGCTGTCATGCATGATGACACAGAGCAGTGACTAACTTGTGATTCCTACTTGAACAGATGCGGAAAGGAGCAAAGCGGAGCTCGGGACTGCAAGATGCTTGGCCACTGTGCTACCAGTCACGCCCTCCAAAGGCAAGTACAAAGCACCAGCAAGGTGCAGGCGGGGGCGATCTGAGATTTTTGTAAATTTGTGCAAATATGGAAACCAATAATAAAATAAATTTTATTAAAAATTAAACAAAAAACATTTTTAATAATATAAAAGGAGACCAAGAAAGCAAACTCTGACCAATCAGACGTCGAGCTGTCGCCATATTCTCGCTCTGCTGAGGCACCGAATTTTGAACCGATAGAACTGGAAAAAACTGTTTGACCAAAATTCGGCGTATTTTCTTCCGAAATTCGGAAAAAAATTTCCACTGTGTGAATCCACAAACAAACAGACTAACAACAACAACAACAACAACAACAACAACAACAACAACAACAACAACAACAACAACAACAACAACAACAACAACAACAACAACAACAACAACAACAACAACAACAACAACAACAACAACAACAACAACAACAACAACAACAACAACAACAACAACAACAACAACAACAACAACAACAACAACAACAACAACAACAACAACAACAACAACAACAACAACAACAACAACAACAACAACAACAACAACAACAACAACAACAACAACAACAACAACAACAACAACAACAACAACAACAACAACAACAACAACAACAACAACAACAACAACAACAACAACAAGGAAAAAATCAGGGAGCCAAGGAAATGCCAATGTGTCAGCACTCAAAAATCCGTTGTCGTCGTTTCCGTCGCGATCGCTGGCGGATCGGGAAGACGCGAATTGAGGAACGGAACAGCGCGGAACACATCAGCGCCAATCAATACAATCACGCGAGGGTCTGGGGCCGGTTGAACGCCATTGGAAGGCTCTTGCAAGGTTGCCAGCGATCGCGCCCATGCTTGATTGGCGGCCAGAACAGTCTGCGGATCTTGGGCGGTGCTGGCACTGCCACTCACCATGAAGACAAGGAGAAGGTCATAGTGCTCTTTGACTGCAGACATCGCATTCAATGACTGGAACGCCTTCGGGGCCCAGTCGGACAGGTCGCCTTTTCCAACTGTGCGCTGGTGCTTGAGCTGGTACATAATCAGAAGTGGTTTCTGCAGAGGCTGCGACGCAGGAGGAGGGAGGACAGTCCACATGTCAACACCGAAAGTGCGTGGTGCAGTAAGAGCGACAGGACAGCGGCGATGTGCACTAGAAGCGAGTTCGCTTAGCGGTGGGAAGGTGCAGGAGAGGCCCGTCCAGGCATCAACTCCTTCGACAGCACGAGAGGGCTCGAGAACAGAGTTGGATGTCTCGATGATCGGCTCAAGCTGCGCAGGTGGTGAAAAGCGGGCAAAGAGTGAACGATCCGAAGCCCAGCCACAGAAAAGAGATCCGACTCCCAAGAGGTCTTGCACTGTGCAGCTTGCACGAGGCAGCAGGCGAAGTCGAGCAGTCTGCGACAAGAGCACGGTCAGCTCAAACAGGAATCCCTCACCCTTGTGATCAAAAGGAGTGACAAACAGCCTCTGAGCCTTGCCAGCGGCGAGAGGATATGGTCTAAAGTCGGCTGTGGTAACCGCGGTGGACACGGTGACAGCGGTGACAGCGGTGACCAAGTCGACTGTGGTAGCGGTGGCCGCGGTGGATGCGGTGACTGAGTCGGCTGTGGTACCCGCGATGGCCGCGGGAGATGCTGAGACAGCGGTGACCGTGGCGGCAGCGAAGGCTGCGGCGGCCTTGCTCGAGGCGGCTGCGAAGGCTGCGGTGGTGGGGTCGACTTTGTGAATCATTGCACTGACAATCGGAATCGGACAGCCAACAAGCACACACTCCGGGTCGGACGAAGGTGCCAGAGTGAGAAATCCTTGGTAAGCAAGCGTGTCCAGCGTGAATCCACCAATCGATGTCGTCGGCCTGACAGGATGTTGAGCCATGAGTAAGTCAACGAGCTGAAGCACGTTCTCGTCAGCTCGCCGGAAATCGGATAAAGTTGCCAAGTAGTTCTTCACTTTGGTCTGCACGCAGAGTACCATCTCACGCAACACAGTTTGTACGCTGCCCTCCTGGAGCGGCAAAGCAAGGAGATGATGATATTCAAGGACCGAGACGAAACCTGGCGCACCGCCCAAGTCTTGAAGAAGTTGGCGAAAGGACCTGCACTGGCGCCAGCTCGGGTGCATCGTCTTCTGCTGTTCACCCCATCGAGCGACCAGCAAGCCAATGCAGTCATCGACACTGAAAGGGTCCAATCTCACGAGCTCCGCGCGGCTTTGAGTGATCGGAAGATCGTCCAAGCTGGAGCGCGAAGTTCCGGTCAAGAGAAGGACAACAGCGTCTTTGACTCCTAGAGCTTGATTGCAAGTCACAATCGCCGTGAATGCGTCCCGCATCGCTCTCGAGACGCGCTTTTCGTGCGTCTCTTCGACTGTGTTGTCGACGGGCTCATAGATCTTGAAGGACTCTCGCGCCAGCTGGTGCTCGTCGATGTGGATGATGAGCAACGCGTTCTCGTCGGGAGGGATCTGTTTCTCAGCTCGCTGTCTGCGCCAAAGTTCCCGAATGACAGTATCGATTGTGAATGAGCCGAACATCTTGAGGTCTCCGGCCGCTCGTGCATCGACTGTGGCCTTGTTGAGTAAGCCACGCACTGCGAGTCGATTGGCGAGCCATTGGTGATCTCGTAGATGATCCTCGATGGTGATGCCATCTCCTTTTCCGTTGAATTCCACAAAGACGTGCTCGGTGCGGTGTTGGATCAGGTCGGTAAGTTCCTGGCGCTGCTCCTGCGACAAAGCTCCGGCCGTGCCCGCGTAGTTGTAGGTGAAAGAAGGATCTCCAAGCGCGTTCAGCAGGTGGTCCTTGATGAATCCGCCGTAAGTGGTCTTGCCCATGCCGCTCATCGTCGCGATTTGCAAAATCTTGTGGTTGTCTCGATTCGTCCGAACGCCGTTCACCGCCTCGAAAATGCGTCGGAGAACTGCGCTGGTGGTTCCATGGCGTGCTACCAAATCTCCGGTCAGTTGAGGCCAACGGGCTGGATTACGGTCGGAATGCCGTTGCGGACGATCGAGGGTTAGGGGTTGAGCTGATCAAGTGGCAAGCATTTTGAATCGTGAGATCAGAGCACACATACACACACACACACACACACACACACACACACACACACACACACACACACACACACACACACACACACACACACACACACACATACCATTGCGAATGGAGTTCACCTCTTTGAGATTGACGAAAAACGCGTTGTGTGGGTCGAGTTCTAACGTTCGCTGGACGGCGCTAGTGAGGGCTTCCGGCGTCATTCCTTTCAGTTTCTTGATTAACTCGAAGGATGGCACGCATGAGGACTCGTTGTTCTGAGTTTTAAGAACCGCTTCGAGGACCATTTCGCCAAGCAGTTTCTGCGACCACTGTTGACCTGTCGTCCAACACCATCGACGTCAGTGTCATCGCACGCAGGCTATTTCAACGCTCTTGCGATCATGTCCTTACTAAATATGGTTTTCATATCTTTAGAAAGTGCGTCAAACAATGCCTGCACCTGCTGTGGGTTCAAGTCCTCAATCTGTCCAATTCGCACATCAGCATGTTCAGTGACCCGGAGTTCGATTACGCGCGAATGAACTTGTTGCTGTCTCTCGTGTACCTGGGGAAGTCGAACCGGCTCCCTGAGTGGGCTGGTGTCCTCAAGTGCCGCGAAGCTGGGCAGCAAAGACCGCAGCGTACCCCAAACTCTCGTCAAAATCGGCTGGGTAGCGTTGCTCGCATCGTCGTCCTCATCGTTGCTTTGCTGTTGAGAACAACAATACAAGGTTAGAACAATGTTTGCTATCGTAATTACAGACTGTCAGCATGGCGCGACTGCGGCGAAAATTTAAAGCACCAGAGGTTGGCAAAAAAACAACAAAAATGGCGCGCAACTGCCAAGACGTCCATTGCGAGCAAAGTTTGCTCCTCGCCACTCTCGCCACCACTCTCCGGCACCACAGAGTTGGGAGAAAGACACGCGACAAAAAGCCAGGGGGGGGGAAGGGAGAGCAAAAAAACAAAAATTCAAACCGACAATGACGGACAATGCCAGACAATGACAGGCAATGACAGGCAGGTCTCGGCCCACTTACCGTTTTGCCACGCTTATCGACGTGACCTCCAGGCGAGTCCACTGCTTGACGCTTTGAAGAACCGGCCGAACTCATCGCAAAAACTGAAAAACAAGAACAAAAGACTGATTCAACCTGTCAAAGTGATTTTTTTGATTTTCGACTTCGTGTCGTTTATGGTGAGTTTGGTTCTTTTATGAAGCTTCATCATGGCAGAAGACGCTGTGTTGAGATGACATCTTGCTGATGGCTTCGCTTTTCTTTTATTTTTCTTTTGGTTGTTTTTCGTTGTGATTTTGGTTTTGGCTTCAAATGCAAGCTAAAATCGAGCTCCAGGCTGCGCTTTGTGCTCTCCTACTTTCTCGATACATCACGCAATGACCTCGCATCAATAACCATGGTGGTATTGGTGGGTAGGGGGTGAAAGGGCCCTCAGTGCTGAACACGCTGAACGCAGCAGCGATCGCAATGTGGTCGTCTTTTTTTCTTTTTTCCTTGTTTTTTTGCATTAGTGTTGTTCGTCCCACCGCGTCGCGCATGGATGTCCTTGTCCTCTTGGTGTTGCTCTGTAGCATGGGGCGGCAACCGAGATCGGCAGCAACCGAGATCGGCAGCAACCATGACCAAGTGGTGTCTCATTGGGGACGATCCTCATAAGCCGCACCCATCCACAGTGCGATCGCACCATGCACTCTCAAACACGCATACACATGCGCACATGACGATCGTGTGTGCTGGTCTGCTGCTTGGGGCTGAGCGACGGCGGCGTCGTTTGAAGCGGCTTTGTCATTTCAACCAATAAAATTGTGGTCTTGATTTGTTTTTTATTATTTTGACAGCTCCTTCATTTGAGCACTCTGTTGAGGAGGGCGGCATGAAATTCCGTCAAAAACCGCTCCAATAGCACCGATTGTGCCTTGCTGTGCCCATCAAATCGATGGCGATGAACGTTGGTGCTGAGGAGGGAAATCGATCAATTGCATCCAATTCAGCCATTCGTCCGCCAAAAGACAAAACACCCTTGCCCTCGAGCTCCACGATGCCACGTCGTCAGAGTCGTGCACAAGGGCCTGATTCAACAACAAGGGCACTGCTCTGAAGTGTGCAAGCAAGGACTCTTTCCACTTGTCTCCCCTTGTGTGGGTGCAACTGCTGAGCATTGTTGAAATCCTTCAAGTCCGGTCTTTTGCTCAATGACCCTTTGAGTGATGGTTTTGCAGTTGTTCTTCGTTCCTTTGATTTAGATCTACTCTTCATTTTTCTTTTCTTTTCTTTTATTCTCTTCATTCCTCGCAATGGCACTGCAGCAGCGCAGTTTCGCGTTCGCAGCAGTCGCAGCACTTGAGCATTGAGCATTGCCGTCCTCAGCGCTCACGGTGCGGTTTGTTGTGGCACACTTCATCTCCTCCTCCTCCTCCTCCTCCTCCTGCTGCTTGCGTCTTTTATTCTGCTTCTTTCTGTCTTTCTCTTGCTTTGATCGATGCGCGTCATGTGTGCTCTTGGAGTGGCAGCCAGAAGACCGAGCTCTCAATGTCTCTCTCCTCTTCACTCTCTCTCTCTCTCTCTCTCTCTCTCTCTCTCTCTCTCTCACACTCTCACTCTCTCTCGCTGCTTGCTACACGTCGCATGTTTTCATCCCCCCACACCACGAACGCGCGTCGTCGCTGTGTGTGCCTCCTGAGCCTGAGCCTCACTCATGATACCTGCCAATGGAGACCGACTGTGATCCTCTCTCCCATCAGCTTTACCCCAATGTCACGTCACTCACTTGACTCGCTCTGGATCATAGTGTCGCTCTGGTTCACAGTTTGACTTGTCGCACACAGCGGCTCAGGCGCCCGCCACGTCAAGTCGGAAGCGGCTGCTGGCTGGTTTCGCATTGCCGCTGTCGACCTCGCATCGCAACCCGCTCGTGCCTGCAGACCAGAACAGCCTCGACCGACGTGCTGTCGAGTTTGACTTTACTTGCAACGCATTCATCTCGGGCATCTTTGCCATCAAGCAGCGCAACACGGACGCACTCGCCTCCACGCTCAAGGCGCCTGCCAGCGAGGACTATGGTACAGTACAGTCCACCATGCGCATTCTAGACCACGGACATGGTCAAAACTGACCGTTTGTTCGCCGCGCTCGATCTATGACTCCTCATAGGCAAGTACATGACGCGTTGAAGAAGTTTGTCGACGGCGAGCCAGACGCTGTCAACGTTGTCACCTCGCTCATCCTCCGAAACGTCGCCTACCGCATGCCGGCTGCCAACGACTATGTCATTGTGGACACGATGCCTCTCGAAGTCGCGTCAGAGCTCTTCATGTGCAATGTAAGGTCGGACGAGGCTCTCTCTCTCGCCAAGCACTTTGCTGAGTGCAACTTTCTGACTCGACAATTCCTTGAGCAGAAACCTACAGAGGCTGGGAATTATCCATTCGTGGTCTGTCGCAGTCATTTGAATTGAGTCGAAACAACTTGCACCAGTCTCGTCAAACGGCGCTTACTGAATGGCGCTTGAAGAAGTGGGTGTTTTTATTCACGATACTGCTGTTGTTCCTCGGCTGTGAGGTGAGCAGGGACCTGTGTACAATACATGCAATTGTCAGTCAACCGAGAGACTGGACGCATTTGGAAGCTGATAGGTGGGGAATGCCTAATCCTTCCACCGTCAGCTCGACTGATCATGTGTTCGAGTTCCTCTGTGAGCTCTTTGAGCACTCCACCTGCATGCATTTTTGGAGTGTTAGTATGGCGACATTCAATTGTCTCATATCCTAAGTTCTTTGTTCTTTGTTATTCTTCATAAAGCTTTCGACCGTGAAAAACAATCTGTTCGAGTTCCGCTGTGAGCTTGTGAGCACTCTACTCGCAGGCCGATGTCTCATCAGAAACCACTGTAGCATGCCGGAACATTGACGTCAGCGGAGCAGCATCGTTCGGATCGAGCGTCCAGAGCGGCGGGACTTGCACATTCGCTGCAGCGGCGCCAACCGTCCCGCGAGATTTGTGCTTTGTGAGCGGTACAGCCGGCTTGAGCTCATCCTTGGCCGGCAGCATCGCAGCGTTCCGAAATCCTGTCTGCCACGCGTTGCGACACGACATGGTCAGCGTTGTCGAAGTCACAACACACAAAACAATGTCGAATTTGCTGCCAAAGGTCGAATTGCGAATGGCCGAATACGCTTTGAAGAGTTTGGCGGTCCTGTTAGATGCATCACCCTTCTTGGGCAAGTCTTCGTCCTTTGCTTGCAGAAGAATCAGCAACGGTCGCTCGTCATCGTTAATGCTCTCTAAGCTCAAAGGCCCGACCGCTGTTCGGTTGGTAAGGAAATGTGAAAAGATCCAAAATGGGTGCACGTTCGGCAACAGGGATCTTGGCAAGGATGGGTCGCAGCAGGACAATCGGTACACGAAGTCCAACATGATCAGCGACCTTTTGGACCAGAGTAGCGCCTCCCGTCTCGGCCAAATCTTGCACTGTTTCACCGGTTGTCGGATTCATCACATAGTTGGGTGGCACATAGGTGTGGGTCATTGTCAGCCACAGCATCCGTAGCGCAACGCTCGACGACAAATCGCGATTGTGTTTGATAACACTCTCCGTTTGCAGAAAGCTGAGCGCGACCTCGAAAAGCACCTTGTTTTTGTCAGCCGGGGCACCAGGAGGGCGGGAAAGTTGCATGGGACGACTGGCAACAAGCGCGGCGAGAAGTTGCGGGGAGCCGCCCAAATCCGCGACCAGATGTTGAAAGGCAGTGTCTTGGAACCAGTCAGAATGCCAGGGTGTCGTCGATCGGGCCGATCGTTGAACAAAAGCTAGGCTGTCTTCCTGGCTCAAGGGTTCGAGGTCGAGCGGCATAATTCCATTTTGGTTCGGCTGGAATCTCACTCCGGCGTCGCCAGTCCCGGTGAAAAGGAGGACGACCAGGTTCGGCTGGGAGGGGCCAAAGAAGTTGTAGTTCAAGAGCGAGGCGACTTCCGTTTTGAAGCGGGCACTGGCCTTTAACTTGAAGTCCGCGATGGCTGCCGGGCTGGTCACAAACGACTCGACTTGCTCCTTGGTCCGGGTTGAATTCTTGATGAAATCTTCCCGCGCATTTCGCTGCAACTCTAAGACGAGAGCCTCGCGAGCAAGTTGTGCTTCATCCACGTGAATGAACAAAAGCGCGACCTCATCGTCTTGGAGGTTATTTTTCGCTCGATGCGTCGCGAAGATTCTGCTCAGCACAGTGCGGGTGTTGAATTTGGGCTCTGCTGCGCGAAAACCAGCGTCGGACCGAGCGATTTCGATGCTGGTGCCGAGCTCAGCACGAGCAACCAGACGAGGCGCGAGCAGGCTCCGTTGCGGATCATGGTCGGGCAAGCTAATGGCGTCGCCAAGGCTGTTAAAGTCGATGTAGACTTGTTTCGAGTTTATCAGGACAGGATAGAAGGAGAAAGCTTCTTTTGGGTTCAACTACAAAACCGACACGAAACACGCTTTGTAAGTTGCCCCAGTCGAGCAAAAGATGATCAAGTCAAATACATATGCAATGCCAGAGTGTCCTCTCAAGTGTCCTCCTCCAAACGAGCTGAGAGCATGGACAGCAGCTGGACACCGAATGAAGTTTTGCCCATTCCACTCATCGCACTCACTCCCAGAGTGGGAAGCGACCACGAGAAGGGTATTGCAAACCCTGAATACTCAGCTGCAGCAGGTTGAGACACTTGTCTTCCACAGCTCGTCGGCGGATCGGAAACTCGGGCACGGCTGGCATACCGCCGGGTGCGAAGCGAACAGACAAAAACGTGTCATCTGGCAAGGTCACCCAAAGTCAATGAAACACACACACACACACACACACACACACACACACACACACACACACAGACACACACACACACACACACACACACACACACACACACACACACACACACACACACACACACACACACATGTCAGCTCTTACCTTGCTCTTTGCGCCACTGTTGAATCCATCCGATCATGGACCTGGCCATCTCGCGAGTCGTAGCTTGATTCGAGTAATCGTTTGGGATATCAACGAGACGATCTGCGCATCGTGACTCGATATTTTCCGGGACGACATCCTTGAAAATGCTCAGCTCGAGTTTCATAGCCGTGAGGTTGTTGTCGTTGAAATCGTCGTACTCGGACAGTTCCTTGAGGAGATAAAGGCGAAGGCCAGTACTCTTCCAGGTAAACTCTGTTGTCACGCCGGTTCAAAGTCAGTCGACAACACAACCTTAACTCCAAACCAGTGGACGAATCGTACCGAAAGGCTTGCGGAGGAGTTCGGGCAGGCGATCAATCAACGCACGGTCATCCTCCGCTGAAGGGTTGACAGTCGCCTAGAACGATGACAAAGTGAGCCTGAGTGCATGCAACTCAAGACCATGAGAAGGATGCTTACAGCAGGGGCTTTGGCTTCGGTCCCGGACGGAGGGCCAGAAGCAGAGGTCGAGTGGGACCTGCGGGGCAACATGAGCAGGTTGGGGCGTTCACAGTTCCTCTCGATACGGGAGCGGACGCCGCCAAAGGTGGGGAACGGGAGGGCGCCAAAGGAGGGAACGAGGACGGCGCCAGACGGGGAGAGGAAGGCGTCCAAGGCCGATTCGGCTGAAGTGGGT